GCTTGCATTGTGCTGCCGCTTGAAACAGCATGGTTTTTCTAATCCTGCTAGAGGTTGCTTCAGTCAACCTTCCCCTTCCTAATTATGAGCTAAACCTGCCATTTCATTGTGTGTTGCTGTTAGTATTACAAGTATTTGTGTACAAGTGCAACAATGAATGGGCGCTGACCCCCCGCAACCGGCCAAGTAAGTGTGACTTTTTCTTAAAATACTTGAAGTAGATCCATTCCCTAAATCAAAATTATGGGTTATAATGTTATGCAAGATTATAAACTTTTTCGGCATAACTATGAAATTTCGAATTGTTTCGACATAAGCTTAAAAACTAAGAAGGTGGGCCAATTTTCAAAGCTTCTTAGTTTCTTTGTTTGTGATCGAATAGCTTCCAAATTTCGCCATAATGATACCTATATGCTCACAAGTAATAAACAATAGCTAGAAGAAAAATTTCTCCACGGGGAAAAATTCAGGTCCGAAAGGGTTAAAAAAACGCACCAAAAAAAAGAAAGAGCCCATGAGCCTGGAAAAACCCGGCGGGGGAATATTGCTAACCTATTAAATCCATAACAAACGTACTCTTTCTCGTGATTTGTTAAATATTTCAGTTTTTAGTGAAATATGTGGTACTTGGTTATTTGCTTCTGTGATCTGCGCATATTCTATTAAATTGTTTTTCGTACAGAAACAACATGGATCTTATCAGATTTATTGAATCGGTACTGTTCTGTGTTCGCGCTGCATCTTTTGTACTTGGCCTATTCATACTAAAACGATGTTTTTATATTACGATATGTTACCTTTGAGCGTACACTCTGTTTCATGCAGCCAGAAATCCACGTGGCACACGTGGCTAAATTCTCGATGAAAAGGTGACATCACGTGTGCTCAAAGATGTTCTTGAATCGATGCCACGTAATGCCACGTCAATTTCTGCAATTGCACAATTTCTGGTCATTTGAAGGCGAGGGTACCATAGATTACGTGGAAGAGTACCTAGATTTGACTTATACGAAGGTCATCTTTTTACAAGTCTCTGGGGCGAAGGCCAAGGTGGCCAGCGCGGAATGAAGAATTACCTGTGGGAAAATCATCTTTATCAGTAGGAAGGTAGGCATCGGCATCTACTTGCAAGAGATGATCTCGAACTGATGCCTGAAATTGAAGATTTTAGAAGCTGGCTCTAGGCACAAATACTAGCTGCGCACTCCAGTGTCACAAGAACAGTATATCCTCATCATTTAGTTTCATGTCAGACAGGTGCATGAGACAAACCCTGTGATCACCTTTGCTTTCTTATAGTTAGATCAATTCACATTGAGAGTGCCCGTCTGAATGTTTTACCGCAAGGCAGAGGTACATGGTTACGATTGGATCTGGCTGAATCATTTACTGGTTTGAGCGAGCTCAAGAGGGATAGAGCAAGCCACAAAGCATGAGCCGTTCTCGCGGCCCAAAATTGTGAAAACTCGGGCCGTATCAGCTGGGGCTCGCAATGCTACCGCCCACGCGGCTCCTTTAGGGGGCCGGGCCTTGTCGCCGCGTAAACGCCTTTGCAGAATAGTGTGTTCTGCAACTTCGAACACTTGCGCTTTGAAAATACACTTCCACTCATAATGCTACTTCCACTAACGCAAAAACTTTCATCTGAGGACGTTTTCGATAAAGACTATAGTGAAAATGTCATTCATAAGACACAATTCTTGATACCAACACAGATTCAATTTGAAACCGCAACAATGGTCCTCTTCATTCATTGAAAAAGCTCACTTCGCTTATCCCACAAAATCATACTTCCACCGCATGTTCCTCGCTGCGTTTAATTTTTACCCGATTGGATTTTTGCGTTGGTATTCAGAATTGTGTCTACATGCATCACATTTCCACTATAGAGCCTTTCTCGAAAACGTCTTCAGGAGCAAGTTTTGGGGAATTCGTAGGTGGAAGTATCATTAGGTGGTGCAGTGGACATCGCCCTAATGATACTGAAAAACAGTAGAAACATACGCTTCCATCCAGATTCCAGTAAGAGTGATTCGTAAGATTAAGCACTCCTGGTGTTGTGCATGTTGCCCCATGTTCTATGAGAAGTTGATTCATATCGTTTACAGTATACGTCACCTGAAACTGATTGCATAAATAACACCTCAACGATATAGAAATAGACTTCAAAGGAATCGTGCCAAAACCTTGTCATAATCCTTCCTTGCATAAATGTGTCATGTATGATAACTAGTTGCAGCATACAAAGTCCATGCACCGATATGTACTTTCCAAGGCTAAACAGACCTTCGAATACCACATTTGCGGACAATTCACGGACATTTGGGAGGAGCCAGGGAAGTGCATGGAACGAAGTATGTACATACGAGAGGCGGCCACGCAAAAGACCATGTCCCATGTGAAAGGATTGAATTCAAGCATTCAAATTTGGAGAATTGAGATAAATAGTTCAGCACGATAGACTGCAATTGAACAGTGAGTTGTTCTTGCTATAGGTGAGGAGACCGAGATGATTCTGAGATGGCACTCCAAGGGAAGTGGAAGCCTCACCGTTGTCAACATTTGTGACAGTTCTACGGCGGGAATTTGAATGAGTAAGTATTTCATTGCTTTTTTAACTGGCCATCGAGATAATTCAGCAGTCTCGCCTTTTCGTTACTATTCATGAGGATCGGTCTCATCGTCAGTCCACCGATCCGGGGGAAGGTAGAACCAAGGGCTACCGTGCACGATTCCTCTAAAACAATGGGTCTCTTGAACAGATTATAAGAGTAACGAACGTCAATTTTAGCATCTCCTGGAAATCCGTCGTTTTCTTCATCGGCATATATTCGGAAGGTGACGGAAGTGGGTGTTTGGCGCGCAATCTCCCACTCTTTCTGAAATGCTCAATTAGACTCATCGTTTTTTTTTTTGACACAAGCTAGAATGTGGATACCTATTTCTGAGGCTTTTATGCCCTTTCCTTTGCAGGGTATTGATACAGTTGAGGGACCTTATATGAGTCACCGTCATCTATTTTTTTGAATCAAGTGTTTTCACTTGCGGCCGTGAGCTATGCATGAAACAATGGTTGGCATTTCATCTTTGGGTGTGACAAAGAAGGAGACTACAACATGAGTTCAAAGAAGAAAATGAGAAATAGAGCAAGAGCACAGTAACGAATACATTATCTACGGCCTAGAGGTGCTAATATGAAACTATCTGCCAGTGATCTGCGTCATATAAAGCTCTGAAAAATAACCTGCTAATCAAAAAGCATAGCCATTGAGAAGTTATAGATTGTGATCTGATTGTGAGATCCTAGTGCTAGTAGAAGGAAACCTTCAACACATTCCTAACGGAAGCATTCCTTCGCGCGCTTAAATCCTTGCCAAGCAGGAGGCAGAGTAAGGGGGATAACATCATGAACCTGGAGTTCATGACCGTATCTTGAACGGTATCAGCAGCGTAAGTCGGATAATTCTTTCCGAAACCTCTTTATGCTTTCTAAAACTTTCTCACAAATTGGGAAGGCGTGAGTGCAAAATTACTAGGCTAAGGTGACGTCCGGATGGCACAATCTTCGTGTGGTAGGTATGTTACCGCGCTACTTCCAGTCACATGAGAAATTTCAAGTGGCTAATGGGTGCGATAAAAAAAGCTCGCTACTGCCTAAACCCCTTCATCCCGCTTTCAAGCATACCATAGCCTGTAAAACATTCAAGCAGTAAAAAAAACGTAAATAAGCGCATTACCAGAGCGATCCCTTGAGGTCCACCATGCAAGTGATGAGGAGGGTTGTTGATTGGAAGTTGATACTTCCTACCATGGAAGTCGAAGCACCCGAACTGAATCCGATTACAGACACGACCGATTGTTCGGCCCATATAGGCAGTGTCCGTTTCATAGCCTAAAACCAAATGGATAAATTCAAGCCACTTATTGCGATTTTGTAGTCGATAGGGGAACATTTTTATTCACAAGTAAGTCTTTGAGAAGGCTTCGAACAGTTTCTTACTGAAGGACTATAAGGTTGTAAATTGGGATAACAAGTGGCATTATTTACCATTTACTCTAGCCCCAACAAATATGTATGTCTAAAGTTGAAAAGATATCAGTGATAAAGCTAGGATGTCACCCGGTGGCGCACACTATCCTCGCCTTAGTTTTGAGACTCCTTTTTGCGAAGAATGCTGCAGAGCGCCAGACCGTGGGCCGTGGCAGATCTAGAATCCTCCCTCTTAGTTATGGTTAGGTGGTCGCTTTCCGGAATAGATGTGGTGGGATAGCCAAAGCCTCTCGGGCATTCTGCCCGCGGTGCGTAAAACTTTGTATGTTGTCTAGTGATCACACTCATAGTTACTATGTTGGGTAAGAATGCAGAAGCTTCCTGAGAAGGATTCCTTTCTGTGCTCACTCGCGATTGGCTGGCCTGATTATTAGACTCGAAAATGTATGCAGAAATAGAAACTGGATCTCAAGTGAACAAAAAACGAAAGGAAAGCTCTGAAAACAATGGGAGCAAGAGCTCGTTCACCTTGGGGTCCAAATAGTGCGAGTGGCAAGAATGGGATAAGGTCTCGAAGTGGAAAAGAGGCTCGTATACAAAAATCATGAACGACGAGCGAGACAACAGATAGGATAACGGATGAGTTGCTTGATGTTGCACGTTTGAAGCAACAAACCCATATGGATTCATAGTTTCACTACCAGTGGAAGTGAAGATGCGTGAGCCTAGTCTAGAACATATGAAGTTTGCTAGAGCAAAAACAATACAAATACATACCTTGGAAGGTCCTTACGAGGAGGTCTTTCAGGTCATGGAGCGCTTTTCAAATGGTTTCTTGCATGTTGTAGAGGCTCATGCGAGGAACACAAAACCATGGTCCATTTTTCCTGAACGCTTCTAGGAATGTCAAAACAGTGGTGAAGAAATGGTCCAAAGTTCGATCCTCCGTGGTGACAAATTTTTGCAATTATGTTGGAGCCTCCAAATTGCCGCCAAATTACGAGGGTGACATCCATTTTCGATCGCTGGTGTCATTTGGCGCCAATTTGGAGGCGCAACATAAATTGCAAAAATTAGTCATCACGGAGGATCGAACTTTGGACCATCTCTTCACCACTGTTTTGACCTTCCTAGAAGCGTTCAGGAAAAATGGACCATGGTTCTGTGTTCCTCGCATGAGCCTCTACAAAATGCAGGAAACCATTTTGGAAAAGCGCTCCATGTCCTGAAAGACCTCCCTTGTTAGAGGAGTTGGATAATTGCACCGGCTGCTTTTTCATGGACATGCCCACTTTCTAACAGTGGAGATCGCGTGATTGTGTGTGGCCCTTGCGCGATTGTGTGTAAGGTGGGGCCGCGCTGGGAAGAATGCCGCCTGTTTTTTGATTGGTTTTATTGCTCAGGTCGTTTAATTGTTGTATTTCTTTGTTTTATTCGTGCATATGTGACTGCAGCCGTATTTCTTGCTGCCACGGAGTGAGCAATGAGCGCCGGCGGAGCAAGTAGTTCGGACAGCTCGTACGGCCACACCCCCTCCTTATTTCAAGGAGAAGGAGGAGGCTTCCTTGTTTGAGGGCTTCATAGTCGGTTTTTTTACAATACATTCAATTACTTATCTCATCGATCTCAATTCAGAAAGCCAATTCGCATGCGATGCCAATCGAGATCGCATCCACCCAAGTCAGAGCTCAGTTCATCCCTTTAGGAGCGACATTAACTTCCCTTTTTGTCAAGGATCGCGATGGAAATGATGTAGATGTCGTACTCGGATTCGACAGTCTCAAAGGTTCAGTTTGCAAGAGTCACAACTATCATTGCTAGATCATGTGATGCTCTTTAAAATCCTATATTTTTTAGTAGGTTGTTACCTTTCAGTTATCGACCGCGCTCTGAATCACAAAGGTGTGGCAAAAGAAGCCTAATAATGTCCGTCTCGCAAGCTTTTACATCCAGAAAAAAAATACATTGCTTCAAATTTGCATTCGACGGCTTCGTTCTCTTTTTCCGTTCAAGCGCAGTTTCATCTAAGCTCGTACAAAGGCACGACAATTAGATTTGCTGGTGTAAAATCTTATGAGAATCAAGCTGTTAGGCTCGCGACTGCGGAGATGGCGCCACTCCCGCAAATAAGAAAATGTATCGAGGGCGCTAGAGGCTTTGAAGCAACAACCCAGATCGAATTAATGAAATTGTGGACGCCAATTTGGCTGAAAACAAGGAATGATAAAAAAACGGCGATGAAGCCCAAGGAAAGCCTCCTCCCTGTTCTCTTGAAATAGTGAGGGGGTTGGCCGTACGAGCTGTCCGAAACTACTTGCTCCGCGGCGCTGTCATCTCGCGTCACTCGTGGCAGCAAGAAATACGGCTGCAGTCACATATGAACGAATAAAACAAAGAAATACAACAATCAAAGAAATACAACCTGAGCAATAAAACCAATCAAAAAGCAGGCGGCGTTCTTCCCAGCGTGGCCCCACCTTACACACAATCTCGCAAGGGCCACACAATCACGCGATCTTCCACTGTTAGAAGGTGGGCATGTTCATGAAAAAGCAGCCCGTGCAATTATCCAACTCCTGTAACAAGGGAGGTCTTTCAGGACATGGAGCGCTTTTCCAAAATGATTTCCTGCACTTTGTAGAGACTCATGCGAGGAACACAAAACCATGGTCCGTTTTTCCTGAACGCTTCTAGGAAGGTCAGAATAGTGGAGAAGAGATGGTCCAAAGTTCCATCCTCCATGATGTCTACTTTTTGCAATTCACGATGGCGTCTCTATACTTACTTAGATACTTAGATACTTAGACGACCCGTTCATCTGCTTGGCGGTTGGCCTTGCGCGGGTCCCAACTTCTCTTCCATCGTTCTCGGTCTTGAGCTATGGTTGTCCAATGAACAGACACCTTAAGGGACACGGGATCAAATATGTTGTTGCGATAAGCTAGAGAGTCTGCCCAACGTACTGGTGGACGGCCGGGTGGTCGTTTCTTTTCGCGCGGGCACCATCGCACAGTTGCAGCACTCCATCTGCCATCATTTCTCCTCATCAAATGACCAGCGAATCTGTGTTTTGCCTCATCGACGTGAAGGAGGGCGTCTTTCACTTTCGATATGGCCCTGATGTCCGAATTGTGAAGTTCTAGTTCTCGTTGTCGTCTCAAAGTGAAACCCACTAAACGGCGTTCGATCGATGCCTGGGCGGACTTCAATTGTTTTTCTAAGGACTTAGTTAGAGTCCAAGTCTCTCCTGCGTATGTAAGAGCAGGTAGAACCGTTGAGTTGAATAGGTCCGCACGCAGTTTGCTATCCCTAGTATCCTCGGTAACACTTCTTATGGATTTGAAGGCAGCCCAGCCCGCTCTGCGGCGTCTGTTTAGCTCTCCAGACAGGTCATTCTTCATGTTCAATTGGCTCCCGAGGTATATGAATTCTTTGACGTCTTCGATGGGGCTTCCATTTAAGAGAACAGCGTTGCCATCTGTGAACGAATTCCGCATCACCTTTGTTTTTGACGTGTTGATAACTAGTCCATAATGACTTCCTTCTTCGTCCAGATGTCGTAGCATCTCTGAGGCGTGTTGCGAAGATTCTGTGATCAGGACTATGTCATCAGCAAAACGCAGATGATTGAGCCGTGTACCATCGACATCCACTCCAAAGTTGCTCCATTCGCAGCGGCGTATAGCGGACTCAAGGCATGCAGTGAAAAGATTAGGAGATATTGGGTCACCTTGTCTTACTCCTTTTTCTACTGCAACCACGACGTCTTTGTGGAACGGATGAAATATCGTTGTGCAGTCCGTGTAGCACTCCCGTAACACTTTCACGTATATCTCTTCAACTCCTTGATCTTTTAATGCGTTCCAGACCATCGCTGGCTCCACTGAATCGAACGCTTTTTTGTAGTCGATGAAGGTCATTACAAGCGGTAAGTGATATTCGCTTCAATAACTCTTCGACAGGTTACAATATGATCGAGTGTGCTGAAGTTTCGACGGAAGCCTGCTTGTTCTACCGGTTGAGCTTCTTCCAATGTTCTTCGGATACGTGCCAGTATGCAGCGAGTGAATACTTTATATAACACCGGCAGAAGCGTAATGGGACGGTAATTCGCTAGGTCTTCTTTGTCGCCTTTTTTGAATAGCAAAACCGTCGATGATTGCTTCCATGCTTTTGGGACTTCGCATTCATTTATGTAACGTGTGTATCTCTTGGCAAGCGCTCGATATAAAGTCGGCCCACAGGCTTGTAGAAGCTCAATGGTGATGCCGTCTTTTCCTGGAGCTTTTCCTCGTGGCATTGTTTGAATCGCATGCCGTATCTCCGAAGAAAGAAATGGCAACACTTTGTCCGTGGTCAGCTTCTCTTCTGCTATAACAGGGACTTCCGATTTGAAGAGAGTGGAATAAAATGTTGCCATAACTTGTTCCATTTCTGGCATAGATGTACAGCGCGAACCATCTTTAGTCTTTAGACATGGGATTATCAAACGATGTTCTGCAAACTTTCTTCTGGCTGCTTTCAAGCTCCTTTTGCCTTCAGCCTCGCTTAAAAGTCTGGATCTTGTGAAGTTGATGTGGTCTTCAGTGATGCGCCGTCTACACAAACGACTTAGTAGCGTATATTCGACATGATTTTCTTTCCGATCCATATTCCTCCTTTTCTCGAGTAAGGCACGAGTAGAGGCGGAAATGCGGCGAGCGTTGTGATTCGGGGCTATACTACGGCAGCTTTCTGCAATTCTTGATATCGTCCTTATAAGATTGTCGTAGTCGTCGTTGATGTCTTCAATCATTTCAAAAGACTCTCCATTTGTGAGCATTGTAACTGCATCTGTATTGAGAACGGTAGGGCGTGGTAGTCTCGAACGTATTCGAATGAGGCGAACAAGACCACGATCAAAGTGGAACCGGCCCCGTAATAGTCGATGATCGCTCCCTGTGTTGAATGAAGGGACGACTG